AGAGTCAAGATTAAATGTATTGGAGTTCAAAAAGTCGAGACAAATGTGCCAATCAAGATGAATCGGGTGAGGGTGCAACATGGTCATGCATTGATGAGTCGTTGCTATTTAGTTTTTACAAATGCAATCTTTAATTATTTTTAGTAGTTACATTTGGTTCGATGCTCTAATTTATTTTTTATTTATTCTAAATGGTGGCGAGAATTCTGGACAGATAGTGGATGACTTACATGTGCCAGCATGAGGGTTAGCGAGACATATTGCTTCTATGTGAGTGATTGTCTCAAAGTCTGGTCCAAAGATTTATGAGCAGACTATGATTTCTATTATTTCGCCTGTTTTTATGATATATTAATATTAATATAAGTCATTATAAAATAGATGAAGCTTTAAAGTAAAATTATATATAGGGGGCGGATCTTGTACAAAGTGATCTTACTGTGCAAAAACGTGTACACTACATCTTTACGTTATTTGTATCGCATATTGTCGTTCAATGTGATGCATATTCTTCTGCGATCAAATAAACATTTGCATATTAACATTCAAACTGTTGCAGCTGAAAAGGTTTGATTTTATTACCAAAATACAACCATCCGTTTTTCAGCCATTAGATCTTTCAAATGCTCAGTTAAGGCTAATTTTTATTTTGTAAATTAGGAGCACTTTGTATTTCAAATAGCTCCTTGTATAGATCTTCATATATATATATATATATATATATATATATATATATATATAGATTAGAGATCAAATACAAACCTATCTTAATATACTAACCTACAAACTAATCATGACCATCCGTTTCATTTGATCCTCTGTGCGTTCAATACCAAATGCCGTTACGTAATTTAATTAATTGAGGGTCCTTTAAGTCTTTATATTGGATAAAGAAAACACGATCTCTTTCCATTATCTTTCCATAACTTGCTTTTCAATGTTATTTCCTTTCTTCCTTCTTCGTCACTCAAGCTTTATTCATTTCCATATGAGAAGTTAATTTCTTCTTCATGATAGCTAGAAATTTCCTGGGCATATCTTCTACTCAACCCTACTTTCGTGATTTCTTTTTTATTTTTATTTATCTCTATCTCCATCCCTAAGATATCTTGCATGTCGAAAAATCTTTTTTTGTTCTTCATGATATTTATTATATTTAATGTTTTAATTTTTGTTCTTTATGAGATTTGTGATCTTTTTTCTTTATGAGATTTATTATGTTTAAAGTTTTAATTTTTTCCTTTATTAAATTCGTGTTTATGTAAAAATAAGAATGTTATGCACTTAATTTGCTTGAAACATTTTATGATGTTCTTACATTGCTCATGTACTATGCATTATGTAATCACATGATTTTAGTATGCATGTGAGTTGAGTATATAATGCAGTTGCCATATCGATAAGATGCAGTATGAACTTACAAATTAAAGTGCATATGAGAGATCATAATGATAAGATTCAGAATATGAACTTATAAAGTGCATATATAATCTTACTAAAATGCACTATATGAACTTCTAAATGCACATGACACAATGATAAAATGCAACACATGAACTACTAAAATGCAAATATCATTGCGGTAAGAAGCAGTGCGAACTTCTAAATGCACATGTCACAATGATAAAGAGCACATAGTAGTAAGGTGCAATATAAACTTGTAAAGTGCACATATCATTTTATTGAAATGCAATATACAAACTTCTAAAATGCACAAGTGTACATGTTATAATGATTAAATGCAACATATAAACTATCTAAATGCAATATCGACATATTTATCACTATCAAGTTCTAATATGAATTATGGAGATATTAGAAATATATAAGGCACATCATCCAAACTTAATATGCACTTCCACTGACGTTAATATGCACATTGAAGAACCTTAATATGCATGGACTTCTACGTTAATATGCATGCATTTCTACCTGTACTGATTTCTTACAAATTTAATATGTTAGAAGCTCTAATATAAACTATACACTCACTATTAATATATTATGTACATTCTATAACCTTAATATGCAATGCTAAATATGAAAAGTTAATTAGGAAGTGATTAATTCCAAAAATCGAGTTATTTATTTAACGACTTAATTATTATTAATTATTAATTAAAATTGAAAAGATGTTTTGAAATTTACAAATGCAAAAAAGGGATTTCGTGCATGGAGAAAACATGAATTTTTCCTTGTTTAAATTAATTCATATGAAGATACTCTAAAAACTTCCATATTTTAATTTCCAAAACTTGGACGGTTGCAATATTAGTGGTAGGTTAACATAAATAATGAGATTGGGGTTCTATTTTAGTTCCTATTTTAAAGTGACGGCTCTTTTATTAAAAAGCTAATTTACCTTGGTATCCTTCCCCATTAACCGTACATAGTAGTGGCCCATCCATTTTTTAATTCCATGTATTCATCACATAGCCTCATACGGTGGATGCTATACGGATAACTCTTGATTTGGCAGATCTGGACGCACGAGATTAGTTTGTAGGTTTGCATGGGAGGATTGGTTTGCACGTGAACTCACCCCTATATATATATATGTATGTATATATATATTATATATATATATATATATATATTTTTAAGAGTTTAGTATTTTTTTTTCTTTAGTATGTGTGATTTATTAAAAAAATGCAGAATACAAGAGAAGAGGGGGACTAGGCCAAAACCTCTCCGAGAAGGCATCCCTTCCCAAAAACAAAAAAACAGCAAAAAGAGCAAACAAGTCCTCAATGGGGGGGCTAGACCTGACCCATTGGATACAAAAAATAAAACAAAACTACCTGGCTATTCTCAAAGAAGGAAGCCCAAACAAATCCAAATAATAAGCTAAACGGGCCTGATATATATATATATATATATATATATATATATATATATATATATATATATATATATACAAATGTTTGTACGATGCACCTTGACGTTATTTGCATTGCACATTGAGGTTCAAAGTGTTGCATATTATATACTCATAAAATAGCAGTTGCACATTAACGTTCAACTAGTTGCACCCTAGAAAAGTTAGATTTTATTACAAAAATGCCACCTTGCCTTTATATCCTTTAGATCAACTCATCGGATGGTCAAGATAAGTTTGTACTTTGTAAATTAAGCGTGGTTTGTATTTGATCTCTATTATATATATATATATACATATATATATATATATATATATAGTGGGGCAAATGCCGGGTAACATTTGCCGTTATTTTATTAAATAGTAAAAAAGAACAAGCGAAAAGGGGGACTAGGCCAAAACCTTTTCAGACGAGGCATAAATCGGATAAAAGATAAAGGTACATGTGAAAGCAAAAAAAATTGGGGGGACACAAAACCTTACCCAATTAAAAATTAAAGAAAAGGGAAAGGAATTAGCAACAATTTAGGAAATCCTAAAATTAGGAAATCCAGATGCATCAAGAGCAATCGAACCGCGAACTCGAATAGGCAACTGTGCTGTGTGATAGAAAATTGTTGAGCTACCATTTCCAAGCATCGATTGAGCAATCTGGTGTGCCACAACGTTAGCCTGCCTAAAGCAGTGCCCGAAGGTGATAGAATGAAGATTGGCAAGACATAAGGTAGGGTTGATGAGGTGAGGATATATATATATATATATATATATATATATATATATATATATATATATATATATATATACAAGTTTTGGTTCAAATAAGAACACGATCTTACGAGAGAAATGAGAACGAATCTGGACCGTTGGATTGTCTTCAAGTGAAATTCAGTGTGCATCAGATGAAACTGTAATGTGCATTAGGTGAAATTGAAATGTGCATCAGAAATGGTACGATAGAGTGGCATTATGTGCAGTTGAGTTGTGCATTACGTAAAATTGAAATGTGCACTAGGTGAAACTGAAATGTGCAGAATAAAAAGTACGATGTGATGTTATTTTTGTACTTTTTTTTCGCACATATCAGTTTCATCTAATGCACACTTGAGTTTAAACTTTTATTTTGCACATTTCAATATCATTTAATGCACATTTCAGTTTCACCAAATGCACAATTTGGTTCCACATAATACAATCCAACGGTCCAGATTCGTTCTCATTTTTCTCCTAAGATCTGTTCTTACCGGAACCGCTCCCTATATATACATATATATACATATATACGGAGTATATATATATATATATAGAGAGAGAGAGAGAGAGAGAGAGAGAGTGCTTTTCCTGTCCGGAATTTCCGGACAAGACCCTGGTCCGGCCACCTCAATTTGAGGTGGTTCCCGGTGGTATTTTTTGCTCAAATTTTTTGTGCATGTTCCTCATCAAGTCTAGTTGATTCATACCAAATTTCAACCAAAAATTCAACCGAGAAGGTCGTCAAATGATTTTTGCAAGTTAACTGGTCCGGAAAATACATGCAAACGTTATAGTGTATCATATTGGGTTAAAAGTGGAGTTCTCACGATTCTCACGTTAAGAATGGTTCCCATTTGATTGAAATTCTATTTCAAATAGCTCATACGTAGTATGTTATTCATATTTGCAAATGCATCTCATACCGAAATCTTATACTCCCGCTAAGATTATTCAATTTATTATTTTCGATTCGTCTCACTAAGACTGTCTCATATCAAATTTAATAAAAAATGTGTTGTTCTGAACTATTATTACTATATTTTTACTTTATCTATCCATATCAATCATATAAACTCATTGTTAATTGCGACTCCTCCTCATTTCTCTAGACTATGTAATATCTTTCAAAGTAGCCCTCTACCTTGTATATTGTGTATCTACGTTTCGATCCACTTGCAATTTATTTATGTGGGGGGTGTCCAAACGATATACGTAATATTTGTAAAATAAAATAGATGCACCCAACTTAAAAGCTAGATAAGTGAGGGCACAGGTGAAATTATGAATTATCTAGAACTTTTTATTCATAATTTCTGAAAGGACTTTTAAATTTTAATTCCATATATACACCGAATCTGAATGACCAACGATCATAAATCGGTGCCCCCAAATCTGATGGCATCATTCTAGCCCCATACTTTAGAGAGAGAAAGGCACTCACTCTACACTGTTTAAAGAAGATAGCCCTGCCTCAGCTTCATCACACCTCTCTCTCTAGCTTCTGCAAACTCCAATGGGAGAGGTAAAGCTAGCTAATTGGTTTCTCTTCTTTATTCTGCATTTCCGTCTCTGTCAGTTTCTCTAACTTGGATTCTTTTCTCGTGAAATTCCCTCCACCCTTTGTGTAGGAGGAGAAGAAGCCCGCCGCTGAAGCGAAAAAACCTGCTGAAAGTAAAGAGGACCCGCCCAGCGCCGCCTCCGGAGATGAGAAGAAGGTCGAGGCTCCGGCGGAAGAATCCAAAGAGCCGCCGCCGCCTCCAGAGATTGTGTTGAGAGTTTTCATGCATTGCGAAGGCTGCGCTCGGAAAGTCCGACGCTGCCTTAAAGATTTCGATGGTTATAAGTTTACTCTAATCAAATAGAGTTTTATAGCAAAGAAAGATTCTTTTTTTTTTTAATTTTAGATTTAATGTTCTTTTTTGAAAATTTGGGTGCAGGAGTTGAAGATGTGTTGACTGATTACAAGACCCATAAGGTTGTAGTGAAAGGGGAAAAAGCAGATCCGCTGAAGGTGTTAGAGAGGGTGCAGAAGAAGAGCCACCGCCAGGTGGAGCTCCTATCTCCCATCCCCAAGCCACCGCCGGCAGAGGAGGAGCCTAAGAAGCCGCCGGAGGAGGTTGCTAAGCCGGAGGAGAAAAAGCCAGAGGTTGGTTCATTGAATTGGATTGTTCAGTCACGCCATGCTTAATTCCTGCTTAAATCTTGGCTGTTATTGGTTAATAATAATGCTAATAAAAGGTTCTTGTATTATGTATGTATTTCTGGTGGATTTTGTAAAGTAAGAAAAGATTAAAACGGTTTTGGTGTTATCTCCAGGTGATTGCAGTCGTTTTGAAAGCTCACATGCATTGCGAGGCTTGTGCTGAAGCCATCAAAAGGAAGATTTTGAGAATGAAAGGTGGTCCTTTTCTGCCTTTCCTTGCTATTAATTAACCAATTAATTCATTCATTAATGGCAGCAGTTGGAGTTGGGTTTGTTTTAAGGTCTTTATCAAATTTCATGTCACTTTCAGCTCTTTTGTACATTCATTTTCCTGCTTTTAATTAAATTATAATCATCATTTATTAATAATAATTATTATATTATTGCACTTTTGGCCTTTTAAAAAGAAAAAGGCCGGTTCTTTTTATCACAGAATATTATAAGAATTATTGTTAGAAAACAGAATGATGGCATCATTGTGATGCTTAAATTATCAACCTTTCACTATCTGAACATTGACTAGGATAAGATATTCTTTCTTGAATATTCTGTGGCCTGGAGATCTAAAGAATTTCAAAGCCTAAGTCATAGGAATCTTTGAAAGTTGTGGAAGAGTCCACTAAGTGAGGTGAATGGATGTTTGGGAACTTTTGAGTCCAGTGACATTTTCCATTATACCCATTAACTAACAGAGTAAAAACATATGGAGTCATCATTCACTTTCTCTCCTAAATCCTAATCCTACAATTTTTTTCATCATCACATCATTCATTTTTCCTAGTGTGCTGACTCCAGTCACTCCACTATTAAAGTGGATGGTGATTATGAGGACAAGTGGGCTAATATGACTCTAAAAGGCCTAATTTTTTGTTTAAGTGATAAGAAATTACTTCATATATATAGGTCTTAAACAGGGTTCATGTGCGCACATGAGTGTATCTTTGGTCTGCCTTAAAAGTACGGCTAATTCCGTCCTATAAAAGAAAAAAGTATTACTACTACTTTCAAAAGTGATGTTCCTGCATTTCCCTTTATAGTAAAGAAATTAAAGTAGATTATCATTTATTTTCCTTCTTTTTATGAACAGTGAAATTAAAGGTGTGAGAAATGCAATAAAGTAAAGTTATATGGTTTATTCTATAATTAACACTTTCTTTATATTTGAACCGAAAGAGTTTAAGACCATCAATTTGGAGGCGGAGGGAATATAATTCCATTTTAGTAGTAAATGAGTCATATTTTTAAGGAGAATACAAAGATCGTTCTATTTGAGAAAATATAGTTTCTTATTTATCTCAAAAATATCAATACTTTATCAATTTCAACTTCACTAACTTTTTATTGTCTCAATTTATCCATTTCACTTTTGATTTCATCTTTTTTCTTTTTGTTGACTTCTATCTTCCCTTTTGAAGATTACAACTGAAAAATAGAAGATATATTTCCTCTTTATTTTGTAAAAGATCGTGTCAAAGTGATGAAGTGTTTATCCAACACCTGTTAAATATGAAGTGTCAAAATGACAAAAGGAGTAATACGGAGTAAATATTTTCAGCATTCTTCCTTCCTATTAGGCTTGTCTTTTATAACGAATCTGAAATCTAAATTTAACCCCATTGCATCTTATACTTCTTTTGGAACGTCTTGTAGGAGTGGAGAGTGTGGAACCTGACTTCAAGAGCTCGCAAGTCACGGTGAATGGCGTTTTTGATCCGGAGAGCTTAGTAGACTATGTGGTCAAGAAGACGGGCAAACGAGCGGTGGTGGTGAAGGTGGAGCCGAAGAAGGAAGAGAAGAAGACGGAGGAAGGCAAAGAGGAGAAAAAAGACGACGAGAAAAAAGCAGGAGACGAGAGTGGGGAAAAGAAGGAGGGCGAAGAAGGGACGACGACCGACAACGCAGGGGAGAAGAAAGAGGAGGGTGAAGTTGTTCATCAAGAAGACCCAAAGTTGGAACTGAGAAAGCATGAGCTCTACTACTATTACCCCGCTCAAAGCCATTACCAAGTGAATCCTCACCCTCACCAACAAAGGTTTGCCCAGGAGGTATATGGGTATGGTTACCCAAATATGTTCAGTGATGAGAACCCCAATGCATGTTCTGTAATGTAAATGATGATGATGATGATGTGGAAAGAATGGCATTTGATCCTTTGGGGCCATTTGGTCATTGGCTGGTTGTGCCCTGCATGTGGCCCTGTCTGGGTCATTCAGTAGAAGTAGTTAATGTAATGTCTGCAACCAGTACTGTAGAATTTTGTGAGTTTTTTTTTTTTCTTCCTTTCTTTCTTGTCCTCCTTTTCTTTTCTTCATTATAATAATGTTATAATGGGTGCTCCATACCGGAAATGGACAGAGAGGTAACGCATTATAGTACATGGTACTACAGCATATGACTAGATTATGCCCCTCCATTTTTGCATATTGTGTGTACTTGCAAAGTTGCAACTTGCTGACATTCAACAAAACATAATGAGAGAGAGGGAGGGGGAGGGGACTAAAAGGGAAAAGTGACCTTACACCTCCAATTATTGACAAGTGCATTCAAGGTCACTAACTATTTAAATCATGAATGAATCGTACAAAATGGGTCATGGGTGGGTAATGACTAACTACCGATCAGCCAGTAATTGAGAAAGTTGTAATTATGCTTCCGTTTAAAACGTACCGATGCCGTCCATGGTTAGAGTGGGGCGTAGCCACGAGGGGCTAAGTCAGCTATGGGCCCACTCAAATTTACTGAAAACAATGTAACCTTTGGTTAAATTTGTCTCATCTTTCTTTTTCAGTTCATTCTAAGATTGTTAAAGTCCGTTTGGTTTGAAATCTTCTTATTTATTCTAACTTTATTATTAATTCAACATCAATCACACAAATTCATTTTCTTAACAACTGTACCATATCATCATGTCTCAATGTTAGTGACTGTTGGGTAAATGGCCCCAACAGGGGTTCGGCCCAATCACCCCCAAACCGATGTACGTCGCCTAGCCCACGGGTGACCTTAGCCCAGAGGAGATAGGACGAACGTCGGTTTCCCGGATAGCGGACGAGGTCCCTGCCGAGGGTCAATTAGCATATTTCCGACGAACGTCGTCAGCCGAGGCCCATCCCTGTAGATGGTCCAAATCCAGAAGATCGTTTCACTCTATCAAGGGCCGCAGACGAGCGGCCCCCAGCCTTCCATCGCCTGCTGAGAGTTGCCCTCAGTTCTACCAGACGATCATGGTCAGGAATTAGGCGGGGAACCCAGATTCTGGCGGGAAGCGCATTTAATGCTGGAGATTTGGTGGTTGGACCACAGCCACTAACAATCCTCCACGTCATCAGGAATAACTGCCCATTGGCGGGTATAAATAGTAGCATTTATTTCATTGTAAAGGGTTGACAACTTTCTATTCCCAGCATTCTAGCTATAGCATTCTTACTTGTAGCATCTACACTACCTCGTAAGACGAACGGCCGACGTGCCTTTTTTAGCAAGTAGATTGTATTTAGGGGAGTTATTACGAAGTTAGTAATACCTATTTACATTGCCTGCTATTTGCGTTGTTTCCTGATCCATCTGATAGTTGTTGGGCTAGATATTTACATACACATACACTCACTCCACTCGAAACCTTTGGGCTTACGTGTTGGGCCCGAGGGTTGAAGGAATAAACCTCAACACTGGCGCCGTCTGTGGGAAACTGAACGAAAAGTTTCCAGAAACTCTCCCAAACAGCTACTAAATCTACCTACAGCAAACTCGATGTCAGGAAGCAACAACCAGCGTGACCTCTCCGAGCGTCTGGAATCAAGCCGCCGGAATCGCGGCCGGAACTCGGAAATGTCCGCGACGATATGGACCTCCGGGGGAAACGGGGGTATCACTGACCTCATTCCCCTTGAGGCCAGGCAGGATCCCCGCCTCATGCGGGAACTTGCCGACACCATGCGCCGTTTGGCAGACGAACGGGAGGCTCAAGAGCAGGTGTACTCTGCGAGCACCCAGCGAACACCCCTCTCCCCCATCCGCCGTATGCAGTCGTACGATGATACGACAGGGTCCAGTGACCACCGGCCCTCCGTCCATGAGCAGCTAGGTGGAGGTTCAGGCTCCCATGGAACGGGAGGGCGAACCAATGTCAGCACTGCTGCTTTCAGGGAGCACACACCATCAGTTCCCCGCCAAATCTCGCGGGGGGACGAAACCCCAAGGATCAACACCGTTGGACGACGTTTCCAACGGCGAGGGGCACAAATCCTTAGGCGGCCGCACGGTGCTGTGGCCGCTCAGCGAAATGCTGCCTTCGAGGCCGTACCCCCTGTGTCCCCCGGAAGGGCCGCACAGGATGCAAGGCTGGAGGCAATGGAGCGGCAGATGGCCGAGATGAACAGACGGACAGACGTCGGCTCGGCCACGCCCTCTTTCTCTCTCACGTCACCCTTCACCCCCCGGGTGATGGGCGTCGAGATTCCCCGGGACTGCAGGCCCCCGGGCAATTTGGTGTACAATGGGGCCGGTGATCCCAAGGCCCATCTGATTAGCTACCAAGGGAATCTGTCCATGCTGGGAGCATCGGACGAGGCCATCTGCAGATTGTTCTTCAGCACCCTCAGGGGGCCGGCGCAGGAATGGTTCGGCCAGCTGAGGCCGGGCACCATCGACTCATATGAACAGCTTTCCCGGCAGTTCATGGCTCAATTTGCTGCCAGTACCACCCCCAGGAAGGACGTCACGGCTCTCGCCCACATCAAACAAGGGCGGGACGAACCGCTGGCTAGGTTCCTGGTAAGGTGGAGGGACGAGGTCCTGCAGGTCGACGATCTGGACGAACGTCTGGCCACGAACATGTTCACCAGTGCACTGGCCACAGGGGATCTGTACCGGGACCTAAGGAGGAACCCCGGCACCAGCTACACCTAGGGCTGAGCAAAACCCGATCCGACCCGAAAAACCCGATATTTTTTCGGATATTATCCGAACCGAAGTGGATATCCGACCCGAAAAACCCGAAACCGAAAATCCGATTAGTATTGGGCCTAGATCGGGTGGCGGGTAGGGTTTGTGAAATCCCAACCCGACCCGCCCGAATATCCGAAATATATGTTAGTGTGTACTTTGAATATTTAATTTAATACTTGTGTTCAATTATTTGTGTAATTATTTGTGCAATTTGTATTAAATTATTTGTGTAAATTGAATGTGTAGTGAACTAGTGTGTACAATTTTGGTTAAAGTGGCATTCCAACACTTTAACTATCCAATTATAATGTGTTTTGATATAAACAAAATATCCAAAATATATTAAATTATGTAGTGTGTACTTTGAATATGTTAAATTAATACTTGTGTTCAATTATTTGTGTAATTATTTGTGGAATTTGTGTTAAATTATTTGTGTAATTTGGAAGTTTAGTGCACTAGTGTGTACAATTTTTGTCAATGTGGCATTTAAACACTTTAATTATCCAATTATAATTTTTTTTAATATAACCGAAATATCCGAAACCCGACCCGATATCCGATAATATCCGACTTAAAAATATCCGAAATACCCGATTTGAAATATCAAAGGGTCGGACCTAGTATTTAAATTAAAAAACCCGAACGGGTTTAGGGTTCGCAAACCCGACCCGCCCGAACCCGACCCGTGCACACCCCTAGCTACACCGAGGTTCTGGCTCGGGCCCAGAAGTATGCCTCCATTGAGGAGGAGATCAGGCAGCGGGACGGAGTTCCTGCGGCCCAGCCATGGAAGATGGCGGACAGGCTCGGACCCAGACCGGGGCCCGGGCCCTCCCCCCCAAATAAAAAGAAGAAGGCGGATGGGGCGATGGTCCCTTGGAAGGCTCCGTCCGGAGATATTCAGATGCGGTTGGACGACCGCTATGTCCCCTTGGCCTATCCAGTGAGTCAAATTTTTGAGGCCATCAAAGACAAGGGCCTCCTGATGGAACCCCAAGACATGAAGAAGCATATGGGGCTTGACCAATCGGCCTACTGTGAATACCATCAGAGGGCCGGCCACCTGACGGACAATTGCAGCCAACTAAAGAAAGCAATCGACGAGCTGATCCGTCAGGGGTACCTGGGCGAGTTCGCCCAGCTGTTGAACAAAAACAGCGAGCAGAAGCCGAACCCAAGGTCCCGAACATGGCGCCGCGACGACCGGCACGAGGCAGGGCCCCGGGATGAGGATTATCGGAGCGCAGATAAGCGTCCGGAGGGATCCCTTGGCCCGAAGGGCAAAAAGAAGAAGCTGGAGATCAAGGTGATCTTCGGGGGCGCTGAGACAGGGGATACACCCGCCGAGCGAAAAAAATTTGAGAGATCACTCTACGTGGGTTCCGTATCAGCACCCCCCACCAAGCGCAACAAGATCGAGGCAATCACTTTTGGGCCCGCCGATCTGCCAATGTCACCAGCACCGCATAGAGACGAGCTGGTGATCAGCATGGACGTGAACGATGCCATCGTCCGCCGCGTCCTTGTTGACACCGGGAGCAGTGTGAACGTCCTCTACTGGGAGGCTTTCGAGGGAATGAAGCTCAGGAGGGAAATGCTGCACCCTCTGCGTACCCCGCTGTCCGGCTTCACCGGGGATTGCATTGACGCTGAGGGCACCATCATCTTGCCAGTAGAGATCGGCGACGGCCCTCACACCGCCCGGATCGGGATGACGTTCGTCGTGGTCCGCCTGAGATGCGCCCACAACGCCATTTTGGCCCGGCCCGGCTTGGAAGACTTGGGGGCCATATGCTCCGTACGGCACTCGTGCATCAAATTCCCCACCAACACTGGAGTGGGGATAGCACGTACGGACCCGCATATGGCCAGGGCCTGCTACACAAAGGCCATGGAGAAGCTCAACGAGCGGGAGGCTCGGGTCAACAGCATCTCCGAGAAGGCCAAACAGGCCGACTTGGACGCCCATCTGGAACCAGCAACCTTGTTGGAAGAGATCGAGCTCGACGAACCGACGGACAGGAAGGTGTCCATCGGCGCGGATCTAGAGCCGGAAACCAGAGCGGGGGTCATAGCTGTCCTCCGAAGGTTCAGAATCCTGTTCGCCAGAGGGCCGGAGGACATGCCGGGCATCGACCCCAACCTCATATGCCATAGACTCGCCGTGCGGTCGGACGCCAAGCCCATACAACAGAAGAAAAGATACATGGCGGCCGACCGACGCGATTTCATCAGGAAGGAGACAGCAACTCACCTCAGCATCAAACATATCCGGCCGGTCATCCACGTGGAGTGGTTGGCCAACGTGGTACTAGCCCCGAAGGGCGACACTTGGCAGATGTGCGTCGATTACTCGGACCTCAACAAAGCTTGTCCGATGGATCCTTACCCTGTTCCGAGGATCGACTTGTTGGTGGATGAGACAGCAGGCTGCGAGCTGCTCAGCTTCATGGACGCATTCAGAGGCTACCACCAGGTGTTCGTGCACCCCGATGATGCCGAAAAAACGGCGTTCGTCACGGCGGACGACGTGTATTTCTATATTGTCATGCTGTTCGGCCTGAGGAACGCCATGGCTACTTTTCAGAGGATGATTGGGATGTTGTTCAAAGACGTACTTGGGAAAACAATGGAAGCTTACGTGGACGACATCCTGATCAAGAGTAAGAAAAAGGAGGACCATGTCCAGGACATGGAGAGGGTCTTCAGCATCATGGAGAGGGCCAGTATGAGGCTCAATCCGAAGAAGTGTGCCTTCGCCGTCAGGGGCGGCAAGTTCCTCGGCTACATGATGAGCGAACGGGGGATCGAGCCTAACCCGGATAAGGTAAAGGCGATCATGGACATGGAGGCCCCAAAGAACCTAAAAGACGTGCAGCGGCTTACCGGGCGTCTGGCAGCCCTGAGCAGATTCTTATCCAAGCTGGCTGATAAGGCGATTCCCTTTTTCCAGATTATGAAGAAGGCCAACCCCTTTGAATGGACCCCGGAGTGCCAGGCTGCCTTCGAAGATTTCAAGGTATATCTCTCCTCTCCGCTCGTCCTCACCAAAGCGGATTCCGGGGAAAGGTTGTACATGTATTTGGCAGTAGCCGACCTGGCCGTGAGTGTCGTGCTGTTGAAGGAGGCAGAAGGCGTTCAGCGGCCGATATACTTTGTGAGTAAGGCGCTGAACGGCGCCGAGACGAGATACACGTTGATGGAGAAAACGATCCTTGCCTTGATTGCATTCATCAAGCGCCTGGCACCGTACTTCCAAGCACACCCGGTGACCGTCTACACGACGCAGCCCCTCGCCACAGTCCTCAGGAATCCGATGGCAAGCGGGAGGATAACCAAGTGGTCCTTAATGATCGGCCAGTATGACGTGGACTTCAAGCCAAGGCCGACTATCAAAGGACAAGCACTGGCGGACTTCAATTCGGAATGCACCGCGCGCACCGAGGACGAATCC